TGGGCGTGGCACCGGTTCTGTGGGCGTGGCTTGGTGGGCATGACATGACTTGATGGGCGTGGCTTGGTGGCATGGCAGGGGAAGGATACTGCAAAATCCCCATTTCCTCCCATTCAGTTGGGACTCGGGAGGCAGGGAATAGATGGGGGCGGGGCCAGCCAGAGGTGGTATTTGCCGGTTCTCTAAACTACTCAAAATTTCTGATATTGGTTCTCCAGAACCTGTGAGAACTTGCTGAATTTCACCCCTGATGGGCACCCAGTGAAGAACTGTCACTATTGCACAATACACTTCAACCTGACTAAATCTAGTTTTCGGTTGACATTGAGAGGCAGTGCTGGCTTTGAAACCAGGAGACTGTGAGTTCCAACCCCCCTGCCCCCCTCCCTCAGGAATGAGAGCTGGCCAAGTGACTTTGGATCAGTCCCTTTCTCTTGGACCAACCCACTTCACAGGGTTGTTGTGGAAAATAGGGGAAGGAAGGAAGGCATTATCACTGCCTTGAAGTATATATGGAAAAACAGGAGGATAAAAATCTGGATGTTGCAGTTTGGAGAAAGATAAATTGGTTTTCTGCAGCTAAGCTGCTAAGTAGCCCGAGGAGAAAGTTAAATTGAAGAGAAAAAAATGTGGAAGCGATATCACTTTCGAAACAAAAACAGTTCCCTAACTGTTGGCAATGGAGGGGCCAGTAAAAAAAAGAGGCAGACAAACCTATTAATCAAGTGAAGGTTTTGTGACAAAATGGCAAGCTGAGCTATTGCAGAGATATTTGAACATGGTGAACTTTGCTCTTGCACTCTGATGAGGTCCATTTGGGAGCATTGGGTTTATAATTTCATGGCCTTTACCAGATGAAGTTCTAATGTTTTGCAGGTAGCTGCAATAGAGTGCATTGTCATAGAAAACATATTCATAATTACTGTAGCCCAGAGACCACGAAGAAGGCTGATTGTAAGGAGCAGCAGAAATCCAGCAGTAGTCTGTAATCCATGGACATCTACACTATAACCTAGTTGGAAGATGTGCCAAGTTCTTGGCTTTTTGAAAAGCATAATTATATGCCTTTATCCTATGATCCATGAACATGAGTATCAGCAGCAACTATCTGTAGTAAAGAATAAGTGTTTTGCAGTAAGGCACCTTAATGCTGACACGTTCAAGGGCTCTGACTTACGTAAGTCTTGGATTGAGCTGTTAAAATTCTTTGCAAAAATCATTTTCTGCAAGCCAAAAATATAGACCTATCTGTATAATACGAGATGGCCGTGTGCTATCAAACTGGTGTTTATAAGAACTGTTTTGTGATTACAAAACTGCAAAGAAAAGAAAGCTTTTAGTTTCTTCAAATGAACACATTTGAGATCAATGCATTTGGCTGATTTTTAAATCAGTTTGGTTTCTGTTTTATAGAAACCTGTTTCTGTTTTATACCTTCTGCTCATTCTGAATATCTATCTATTAAAATAACTGATTTTTAAAAGGTGTGTGCCTGCAAAATCCTTCCACCGCCGTGTCAAAAACAAAAGTGAAAAATTACAAAATTACTTGAAATGTGTGTCTTGAAAAGTCCTTGCTTGATAATTAACCTGACACCCTTGGAAAAAAAGAAAGTGTAATTCTACATCTGTAGGACAACGCCTGAGACTGTACAATGACAGCATCTTTAAGGATTTCATCCGACGTTCAAAACTTACACAAAACACCCACATTCTGGCTAATGTAGCCCAGCCAATCTGAGGACTCCTATACCGCAATTAGCCTGCAATGCAAACGTCAACTAGCAGGGAGATTAGATGTGCCCCATTAAGCAGTAAGTAAAACAACTTAACACTGGCCAGCTGGGTCTCTTAGCTAACATCTTCTCTTTCCAACTTCCTCTCTGCTCCATTAAAACAATAATCTTCCTTTCCTCTAGTTACAACTGTAATCTACAACTAAGAGCCGGTGAGATCATTGGCTACTCATCCCACTTGGTGGTGCCTCCTAAAGTTCTGAAGGAAAATTCAAGAACTCACCTTCGTTTTTGAAGCTTCTAACAATATTGGCAGATGGCAACAAGGTCTTGTCCCTGGCAAACCTATTGTAGAGCTCTAACATGTATTCTGGAGTGTCCACCTTGGCTTCCTCCTGGAGGGGGATCCCCGAGAGGTTAAGTGCCTTCAGGAGCTCGTTTTGCAGATCCTGAAGCAGGGCATCCTGTTCGTCAAAGAAGGGTACCTCTTCCTCCATAAGAGGTACATCTAAGCTGGTTATAGGGCTCCCATCTGCAAGGTGGGCCAGAAGAGAGACGGTGGCCCAAATCTGGAAGGCTACAGACTCCATGACTTCCATCTAAAGGGTCCAAAGACTGCTCTAGCAAGTTTGCTCGGGTGCGGTCTGTGGCTCTTTTATCCCCCCACAAGGGTTATATACGGCTTGTGTCGCTGAGGGTGGACAAGTTTGGAGCTTGTGATTAGCCTCTCTCCCATTCTTGTTCCCCACACCCCCTTCGTCCAGGTCTCAGTAATTGGACGTGGCCTGCGCTGTCTCCTATGGTAGCTTTCCTTCTCTTATCTCCTCTAGTGTAAGCTGTCCACCAGATTTCTGCCGCTATCTCACAACCCCCTTTTCTCTTAATGAGCATTTTGTAAACATTCCACATTTAGATGCTCCAAAAGAGATGAATGATTTTTCCTCTTTGCAGAAGACCTGATTGTCCTTCCCACATCCCACCCCTCAACTACTTTTGGCTTAGCTGACTGCTTTATTTTATTTTTTTAACTCTGACTCTTGTTTGTTGCATTTTCAGCTAAATGTGTAAGGGATAATACCTCGGTGTCTTCTTCCTCCTACACGTTTCTGATTTACGGGTGTGACCTCCTTAAAGAGCTGGTGGGGAGGAAGTGATTGAAGATAAAGATTTAAAACCTGTGATGATTTTGGGATGATATGTGAGGGCTTCTTGCTTTAGAGAGCAGTTTCCATGGTCAAAATAAAATTTGTCTATTGGGATGAAACAGTTGCACGATAGTCTAAATTGCTCATGTCAAAATACATATGAATCTATCCATCTGTCCTTCCATCCATTCATTAGTTCATTTTTCTCTCTCTATTAAAATATGCCTAGACTGGTATTTTTAAACATGTTATTAAAATATTCCAAATATTATACATATCACAAAAGGGAACATTTAATCATTGCACTAGGTTTGTACATATGCAAGCAAACCATGATTAAGACGCATTAAAAAAAAATATGGGTTTAATTTTCCCCACGTAATGGCCCTGCCAACAGTACATTGTCTTCCTTCAGGCTAGGGTTGACTGCAGTTTGTGGTCAAAAAAGCCAGTAAGATTGTCTCAATGAGGAATTTATCTGGTTTTTATTGGGTGTGATACAGACATTAAAAGGGGCGGAGCTTCATTTATTAATATAGAGCAGTAACAGAAATTAAATTAGAACAAAGGAAACCAAAAAGAAAGATAGAAAAAAAAACAGAAAAAGCTAAAAATGCAATGAGAAAATGGAACTGAAAAAATAAAACAGAATCATAGGAGTGGAAGGGACCTGTAGAGATCCTCCAGTCCAACCCTCTGCTTGAGCGAGAGTCCTTATACCATCACTGTCACAATAGGCCTGATGCAGTGACTCTGGGTAGCGTATCATATAATAAAAGTAGAAAAAAATACTACAAAGTGATTCAAGTTAGGAAATGTAAATATAAAGCTAATAGGAACCTCCATATTGATGAAGTACTTGGCTTATGCCAATAGCAAGAGCACTTCGACTTATATACTGCATCACAGTGCTTTACAGCCCTCTCTAAGCGGTTTATAGAGTCAGCCCATTGCCCCCCCCCCCTTCAAACAATCTGGGACGTCATTTTACCGATTTCGGAAGCATGGATGTCTGAGTCAAATGAGCTGGTCAGGATCAAACTGCTGAATGATGCATTCTAATCATTGTGCACCATCAGAGGGAGGGAGGAAGGAAGGAAGGAAGGAAGGAAGGAAGGAAGGAAGGAAGGAAGGAAGGA